TGGAAAGCAACGAGATGCAATGTACCCCACAAATAGTGATAAACTCACATAAGTGTGATCCGGCCACCGGAAGAATGAAGAAGCCTCAAAGTCATCGTTTGGGAACAGCAGCTGTTCGTGAGATCTGTCATTATGCATTCAAGGAGATTGGGCTTTGGAGTTATTGTCGTCTAAATTATTTTATAATCTAGTTTAGTGTATGGAAATATATCTATAACATAAAAAAATATCGATAAGGTAATTCAAAATTATCCGAAGAAAACGACTCCCGAAAATATTATCCATAACCTCAAAAAACCATATATGTATGTGAAAAAATTACATGACATTGAATTTTACATCGTGACAAAACACAACATGTAATTTCAAAGAACTAACATAAAAATATGTTATTTAGGGGAAATGGATGTAATTTCGGCCTAAATGCCCCTTATTTAGGCCCATACGTAAATTCAGTAATCAACTAAATTTTCAATAGCGACCAAAAATATCCATTAGAACCTTTCCAATGACGCGTTCATCTAGATAAAATCGATAAATAGCAGATTTTTAGCGATGGGCCCAATTTTAGATCCTGGCCTATGGAGCCATTTCCCATATCATGGAACCTTTTTGTTACATGTAGTTAAACAGAAAATTACACGTTTCGTTCATACTGTGAAGGACATATTTACTAAGTCCGTATTCACTTATGATAGTGCAATCATTTGCATTCATTTCATACATTCATTTACATTGCCTCTAACTTTTTTCATCAACAGCATTCCGCAAAATGATGTATAGAGCTTTTGTAGGTTTATTAGGTTTGTAGGTTATTAGCTACAACTTTTGCTCATAACTCAAATCTGTATCTCTTATGCCTCACGATCTAAAAGCGGGCAGAACTTGTTACTGTTTTTCAGTGAATGTAAAATACATTCACTGAAAAACAGTAGTGGCTTCTGTTCGCTCTGGTTCGTCATGCATAAGAGATACGGATTTGATTGTTAACAAAAGTTGTAGCTAATTACAAACCCTACAAAAGCTCTATACGTCATTTTTGCGGAATGCTGTTTAAGAAAAAAAAAAAAATTAGAGGAAATGAATGTAAATGAATGCACGAAATGAATGCAAATGATTTTCCATACCTGAGTCCCTTCCCAAGTAACAATTCAGCAGCTACTTGGCATCCACTCTGATTTATGATGGTTTTATAACGGAAATAAACAATCCATTTAGTTTAAATACAGCATTTCAAAGCGTAAAACATTTCTGGTTAGTAATTCAGCTTATTACTGTTTTAAAAACCTTTTATAGTCTGTCGAGAAAGTTGTTTAAAAAATAAATTTAAAGCAGCTCTCAATACCTCCATAAAACTGTTCTGTAAATCAATCATAAAATTCATTAGCTATTGTTTATTAATGCCTTAATAAAATACTCAATAAAATTGGTCTGTCATTATAAAAGCAACCATAAAACAATTAGGTTTTAAATGAGAGCAAAAAGCATATATTGTTGTTGTTTAGACTTGTTAAAGTGTACCATAAAATCCCCAATTACTATGTTTCCAAATTGAACTCAAAAGTTGGATCCTCATAGTGAATAAAAGCAATATTTATGACAAGGAAATCTCGAAGAGTAGACGAAGTAGAATGAAAAATTCAAGCGATGTTAACGACCGAAGGAAATTCAACCATCCTACTATTCAACCATTTGTCCCATTATCGACCATTTGTCCATTAAACCTTTTGTCAATTTAACATTTTGTTTATTTTAAACTTTCATCATTTGTCTATCTACATCTTCTGTCCTTTTCCATCTTCTATCCATTTGACGCTTTGGCCATTCGACCTTTTGTCCATTCACGCTTTCATCCGTTTAATTGTTTGTCCTTTAGAACTTTTGTCCCTTCGACCTATTGCCCATTTGAACTTTTGTCCTTCGACCTTTTGTCTTTCGTACTTTCGTCTTTTGGCTTTTTTTTTTCCTTAAACACTGCAGCCCAATTTTCTTCAGTAATAGGAATAATTAGATCAGTTTCAATAATGAAGAAATTTTAGCCCAATTTTCTTAGCAACAGGAATAATTAGAGCAATTCCAGCAAACAAAAAATTTAATTTCTCACTCGACCTTCGCCGATTTGCATGAAACTGTGTATAACTAGGTTGTCATGTATAGTTTATACAGGAACTTCGCATGCACACTAGCGCCACGTAGTGAGAAAATGATTAACTGCAAATAAATGGGGTGACCCCTATGAACCTCTTAGCTGAAGATACTAACCTTCTCTAAGCCCTGGATCACGAGATATTCCATGTTGGAGCCAATTTAACCAAATTATAAATGAAACCACACGAAAACAACATAAATGTAAACCGCGTAGATCGAATCCACGCTCTTAGTGGGATTTATGTTATGGCAACGCTTTTTGAATTTTCAAAAAGACGTATCTGCATTTGTAAACAAAGATTGAGTCTATTTGAAAATTCATCTTTGAAATAATGTTTCGCTTAATCCTCACACCTAGCAAGCCACGCTCCTCGTCGTAGTTTGCCAAGTCGATTGATTCAATATGATTGCCAAGTAGATTGACCAGCATTCCTACACCCCATGGTGTCTGGTGCAGTCGAAGTGAAATTCGTACAAATGTAGATCTTACGTTTCGTACAATGGAAATTGAACGATGGTTTTTGATCTCAATTTTTCCAACAAAATTTACAGTTTCACATATTCATAATGGACGACAAATATGCTTCGAGGCACGGCATTGAAAAATCCGACTTGAAGGACCAAAAACGTGCACGCACATTCCAGCATCTGTTGGGTCGGTGCCGTGAATTCTGGTCTGGTGGGAAGGATCACTAGAGGGCACAGCTAGATAGGTAGTCCACCGAATTTCTATTCTGGTACACAAACGGAAAACACGGGAGGATTCCACTGGGACTTGAGTTTATTACACGGATCACGGAACACTTAGCTTTTTGTTCGTCGACTAATGTCTAAGTAAGACTGTTTATGGAACTGAGTTGGCATTTTATAGTCTCCCAAGATTGTCTTATAAGGCGGGAGAGCCGATAGTGGGACGAACATTCATAAAATGGCCCTTATTCACTTTTGCTTAAGCAACCATATGGTTTGTTTCTGAGCAGTTCGGGACAGTTCAAAGTATGTTCTGAACAATAGAGTTTTCCTGCGCTTATTATAAAATAATAATATTGGCACAAACGGAGAGCATGGCATGTTTTCCGAAACAAGTCTTCAGTCTAGGACAAGTTTTGACAACTCCGTTGACAAGTGTTGAGATTTTTAGTAGTTGATTTTTAGTAGTTGGGAAAGTTCGAGATTAATACCAACGGGGAAAATCCTAATAGCTATAAGAGCATGATGAGACGACATTGAGGATTCAGGAGACTTCGTTACTATTATTATCCGTTAAGCTATAGGATAGGTGTACCACTTATGGCATTACTTGAAATAAAATACCACTTATGGCATGAACCGGCTATGGTCTGTGTAGTTCATGCGGAGTAGTGCCATAGCTGATACCATTACGTATATGGTAAAGCATGTTCCTATTAGAATCTGAACGCAAGATATCAGCTCTCTCTTGGGTTTGGTATGACGTATAAAAATAATACATGGCACGGAAACGGAATTATTTATGGAGGATAGTATCTATCAAGATTGTCATTATCCATTACGAGGCCACATTCGTGCACTGTTAATACTCAATTGCAAGTATTTTTTTTGCTAGTCACTTTAACACTCTTAGGTCATTCGAGACTTGTCCGGGGGTGAGGTTTGAAATCGTGACTTTGGCGTGAGAGGTATGGATGCTAACCACTAAGCCCGGGGTCGCCTCCTATGACAAGCATAGATTAGTATTTAGCCCGGAGAAAGCATCCTTGAGTTCAGAGTTGTTCCGTCTTTGCGTGACACTAACATCTCTTTCATTTGCAATGCTTTCGGTTTACACAGCCTGATACAAATCTTCCCACAAAATCATATTTCACCAGTCATTCTCTAATACTTACTGGGTAATTGTACAACCATTAGTTTCGACCACGGGCCCATTTGCAGCGTCTGCCCTGACGGAAATTCCCATTATTCGAATAATCACTACCAACTAATTACCCTTCTCTGGAGTTCATCTCCCTAGCGTGATTGAAATTTATCATTCGCCGTGAAATGATCTTTCAACGAATGACTGACAAAGTTTTTTTTTACAATGCTACTCTCCATTAGCACTTGATGGCGAAATGAGCGTCCATGAGCCGAGCTCTCCATATCTTGCTGTCTAATCCTTACTACTCGCTCAAATTCTTCACTCTCGAGTGCAAGTGATTTGGACACCTCCGCGCGGTTTTCCACTTCGCTTGAGCATTAACCGCATGTGCTCGGTGACGGACAGGTACTTGATCTGTTTGGTCTGATCTATAGCTGATCATTTACTGTTGCTGCTGCCGCGGGGACGTATGGCAGCTATAAGCAGTAACAAGGGCAAGTACCGTTCAACAACTGCTTCCATACTTTAGCCGACCTTCAGGTGAAGAATAATTGAATTTGACTTTGTTGCAACACTTACACTTTTCCAACGCGCGCCGCCGGTGTCGTGCTGTGCTCGTAATTCGTTTCTGCTAGATCGTTGGCTCATGGTTGTTTGTTGCATGAGACAGCACGTCTAATATATCGCGCAGCATTAGCATTAGCAGCCGCACGGTATGAAATTGTTGTGAAAACATCTATTACCTTTACAGGTTTAGGGTCATAAGTAGAATAGAAGGCAAATCGTCTTACACAATCGTCTTAACCCCCCCATCTCGGAATCTTCAAATCTCAAGCATCGTATGAGTGTTTTTCATCTAAATAAATCAAGGTAAAGTGATGGGTACTCGTAGTGTAGCACACTGTTGTTCAATAAATCATTGGAAAAATAACACTTACCAGGTGGTAGGTATCTAAAGCTTCTCATCCCAAGATTAATGTTAAAATGATGAATATTCGGTAGGATAAGTGCTCACCTTCCTGATTGATGTCCCACACGATCACCTTGGCACCGAGTTTAGTCAACCGTAACGACAGCAGCCGACCGAGACCTCCACCACCACCAGTGACCAGCGCCAGCTCTCCAACAAGGTCTTTCCGTGGTTTGCCGAATAGTGCGAAGTAGATTGACTGTGCGAAAATAGAAAAGGAAATGTTGATATTTATTAGATTTTTCCTCTGCTGACCAATGTTTGTGGGTATATTGTAGTAATAAATCATACATTCCAGTCGAGTGTCTGTTGCAAATACCTATATCGAAACTATATATATGGATTGGAATGCATGCCTGCACACAGGTATGTAAAAATGTCAACAACTTATCGCATTTGGAAGGTCTTTCAAGATGAATATTTGTGTAACCTTTTAGCATCTTGTGTGCATGGAACTTAGGCATTAGATGATGGAATTTTTTTTTGTTATTGGTTGGACGGGCTAGTAGCCCGAAGTCCGCAAGGTCGTCGAATGCTGAGGCATGATGTATAACTCGAAAAACTGGTCATACCCATAGAACGTTAACATGCTATGAAGAATTATATCCAGGTACTAGAATTTTGAGAAACATCTAAGTACAGTATTATAAATCATGAAGAGCAAAAAGGGCGTGTGTTTACCATTAAATTCTACTTTTAGCTAAATGGTGCTATGGGATGTAAACTAGGCGTAGTCCCTCAAACTCGGTCAATAAACAGCTCCGTACTCAACAGGTGACGAAGGTGGAATTTTCCACCAAAAGAAATCCTGAAGGACGGAAAAATTGCTCCAGTGATCTTTGGACATCTACAAAGTTGCCTAATCTTTACTTCTTGAAAATTTCCATTAACGTCTTTCCAAGTTCTCTCGATTCGACCAAGATCTCAGGATATCCATGACCTTCTGTAAACTTCAGCAAAGACCTTGAACATTTTCTACTAATTTCCCTAAACACCCGGGCGAAACAAAGTTCCCTAAACTTCCAGTAAGTTCCCAAATAAAACCCTGAAGTTCTAAGAAGTTTGCTGAAATTTTACTCCCTGAGCTTCTACAAAATTGCCTGAACTTTTACGAAGTTTTCTTAGGTTCTACAAGTTTTGCTGAATTTCTATAACTTCACAAACAAACCGCAGCACTTCTATTAAGTTTTTCGATGTTCTTCGAAATGAAATTCACTGCATGCAAAGTTCCCTCAACTTTCTCGTTGGTTTGCTGAGAAGTTCCCTGAAGTTCTACAAAGTTTCCTGAATTTCTGCCAAAATTTTAGGAAAATAGTGAAAGCCATCAAAAAGTGTTGAAAATTCAACAAAAACTCAAGAAGTTCAGGAAAGTTTAGAGAAATAAAACAAAAATCGAAGCATCTCAGAAGATCCAAGTAGTGTTTCCATTTCCCGGCCATTTTTGGCAGATGGTCTTTACCAGAAATTCCCGGGAATCCGAAATATTTTTGTGAAGTCCAGGAAAATAATAATTTGAATTCATGGCATTTATCCATCATAATGATGATGATGATGAACTTCGGTATTGCGATTTATAATATAGAAAATAGTTTTACCTCTTAATTTTTGCATTTTTTATTGCCATCAGTCAATTTTCCCGAGCTGCCAACGATTTTTCATCCGAATTCTTCTGGAATTTTTTTTTACGACTAGGAATTTTGGTCCAGGTCTTTTTTCAGGTTGGACAATTTTTCGACTTCTCTGGGCATAGAGTATGGTTGCACTTGCCACAATTATACTAATCCAAAAATAGTACAGGCATCGAAAGCTCTCTATTAAAAACTGTGGAAGTACGTCTAGTTGAGAGCACGCAATAAGCTAATATGCGATAAGCATTGTGCTTGAAATACGAGAAAGAAGAATAAAAACACTCTTAGGAGTTTTTTGACCCAGAAGTCTCTTCCAATTTTCCTAGAAATAATCATCTGATTTCATCGGAAGCTTCTTCCAGAACTCCTTTTGGCTTCCGCGATAGCTTTTATTGACTTCCGCTTAAAGGATCATCCAATTTCTTCAGCAAGTTTCTTAAATGCCATTGGAAGTTCCAGTTCAATCATTTTTAACAGCCCCAGAATGTTTTTAGATATCTCCGGAAGCTTCTCCCAACTTCCTTGATATGTCTTTTTGGCTTCGCATGAAATTGTCGTCTGATTTCCTCGGAAGTTTTTCGTGGACTCACCCTTATATATCTTCTAGCTTGCCTTAGAAAATTCCTCTGACTTCGCCTAGAGCATTCTTCCGATTTCTGTTAGAAGATATTGACTACCTCTGGATGTTTCTGCAAACATTCTGCTTAGATTAATGATGATGACGATTGGGGCTTAAGGGGAATTGCTTAGTTTAACGGCTTTCTCAGCCTTAAACACTCTAACGACTACGATGTAATCTGCCCGACCATGTCCGAAACGTAGATTGAATTGTAGTCGTTAGAGTGTTTAAGACTGAAAAAGCCGTTAAACGTCGTAGCAATCCTCCTTAGATGTTTCTTATGGCTCTTCTGGGACAACTCTTACATTTTTCACCCAAACATACATCTAAAATTGTTTTCAAATTCCCGGGAATCGGGAAACGTGATTTATGATAAATTTGCCGGGATGTCCCGGGTAGGAAACACTAGTTCCAAGAAATTCACGGTAGTTCGGGATTCTTTATTACAATTCCATTAATTTCAGGTGTACTGTGAAGCTTGTAGGACTAACTTTACAAAAAATGTAGGAACCTATTAGAAGTTACGAGAATTATTAACAAATTCCGAGAAATTCATAGAAGTTTTATACATCAGCATTCAGACTTCTGGAACATTGGAAAACTTCTGCAATGCTTTAGGAACTACCTAAAAGTTTCAGAAAATTCAAGGTGGTTTTGTTAACTTCAGAGAAAATACAGGAACTTTCATGAAATTTAGAGAATTTCAGGGATATCAAAATAATTTAAAGGAAGTCCAGACAACTTCGCAGGAGTCCAAAGAACTTGTTCAAAATTGTGGGAAATTTGAAAAAAAAAGTTCCAAGAGTTTTAGGACGTTTACAGATCATTAGGGCAGTTTCGATAACTTCAAGGAAATTCCGAGAACGTAAGGAAAGTCCAGACTTGTAGCCTATAAGGATAAGTTGAGAATTTTAGAAAATTTCAGCAATATATCAGACATGTATCGGAAGAACAGGAAACTAAAGGGAAGTTTTAAGATTTTTAAGGAAAGTTCCATAAAATTATTGCTGGGACAATAGGTACGTTCAGGAAATCCCAGAGAAGTTCAGGGAAGTTTAGTGATTTTGAAGAAAGAAGAGAGGAAAGTTCAGAACTTTACGGTCGCTACAATAACTTCAGGGAAGCTCCGATTTTTTTTTGGAAAGTCTATTCTTTCAGGTTAGTTTAAAGGTCTTGAAGAATTTGTTCCTATACTATTTCTAGAACTTCACCGTAATATTATTTTGATTAAAATTTGTAGGAAAAGTAAGTAGAAGTAATCTGAAAAGTTCTGACAATTTCAGCATAATCCAAAGAAAACCAAAGTAGTCAATACAACTTCAGAAAAGATTAGGAACTTCACAGAAGTCCAAAGAAGTTCAAAGAAATTCCGAGAATTCCAGAAAAATAACAGGAACGTCTGACTATTAAGAACTTAGCGGCATATTTGGGAGCATCCATTAAGTACGTCACGCTTTAAGGGGGAAGGGCGGGGAGGGGAGTGTAACAGATCTGTGACTAGCAATGCATTAAGAATAGGAAAAACATGACGCTCGTGACGCACTTAATGTATGCTCCCTCAAGAGAAGTTCCGAGAACATCTAAAGGTTGAACACGAAAAAATCCAAGGCATTTTTGAGTAAATTTTTTCAAAATTTCACCGAATAAAGCTGAGAGTGTATGGAATCACAATAGGCATTGGTTGTCGGGATAAGATCATTTGTTTACATCATGGCTTCATTGGAGCAAGCACGTTGCGATTTCATCCTGCACGCTCGAAACGAAAATCCCGGGCTATCCACTCCTGGCAGTTTCCGATCAAATTCCTGGGCAGAAATTTTATACCTCGGTTGAGCGGAAGAGTGCCCCGGAAGGATGTAAAATCAAAAAGAAGTTGAAAGTCTACGAAACTTTCGTTACACAGCAAAAAATTAATTTTAATATCACATCAAACTGAATGCACTTTAATCGTGTCGAAAATATGGTGTAATATTACTTGCCAAAAAGGACAAAATTATCATTAATACAGTACATGAACTGACATTACGCTGCTTTCACTGCATTTGTTTATTGTTGTGGCCATAAAAATTACATGAGATTTTCGACATGATTGAAGTGCATCCTCTTGGATGTAATATTAAAATTTATTTTTTGCTGTGTACTTGCGACAGTGAACCAGCAAAGGAGAAGTGCCTATGGAAGAGACCTTTTCTGGAGCAGCATTTGCCTATTCTGGGCGGACTTACCATGCTGCCACTACTCAAAGCCACCAAACAGTGGTACAACGAAAATGGCGCCACAGTGGTTCCCAAGGAGATAAATCCGGCCAATACTCTGGAACTAAGGCCAATTGAGGAATGTTGTTCAATTGTGAAGCACATACTGAAGAAAATGGGTGGAACTGCAATTGACCTAAAGGATTTCAATCGGAAATTGAATTTGGCAGCCAAACAAGTGGGAACAGGGCTCGTGCAAAAAAAAAATGATGGGCCGTGTATCAAGAAAAGTTTGAGCAATGACCTTTGATACGAAGGAAGACTGAAATAATGGTCTATAAACATAATACCTTGTAATGCTGTACATTGAACTGTTAACTCTGCACATCCCAATCTATGCCGAGTACTCTATCTGTGCCGAAAATTTGGTGAAGTGTTGTGCCAAACGTGCCGAAGTGTGGCAATCAAGCTATCAGTCCCAGTAACCCAAGAGTTTGGCAACCCTGCACTTATGACTTTTGAAATTGTGTTTACATTTTCAAGTCAAGGACGGCAACAAGTCGTGAAACTTATGTCCAATATAATATTCAACGAGCTAGTTGCCGGTCATCCGCTTCAAGAAAATGGCACTCGAAGATTAGCCCCTCTGCGAGAAGGAGAAGGGTGACTGATGGCAGAAGATAGTTCTCTGCCGTGCGTCATTCTGGCAGACGTTTGCCGAAACCAAGTAACCAACCGACAAGTGGAAGATGAATCT